GGGTATGGGTTTTTTTTTTATATGTAGGGATCATTTTTCTGCACTGGGTCTGGTTTAATGTCCGAAATTCGTATGCAATAAAAACTGGGGATCGGTTTCCAGCACTGGGTATTTCTTGCATGCATTCCTTCGCAGTGCTATAGAAATTTGGGGTTCAGTATCCAGCCCTGGGTATAATTTAATGTCCGTTCCTATGTTGCGGGGATCATTTTCCAGCCCTGGGGGTATACTTTGATGTCCAGTGCCCGATCCTACATTGGGCCATTCCTGTGCCGGCGGACATGCCGGCAGATGCTGTGGAGCGCGGTGTGTGCAGACACGGTGACATAATCCTGATTAAACACAGAGCATGCTGAATATGGATGGGTCATCTGCGCTCTGCTAGCATCTGGCACCAGCAGCATGGCTCCTGAGGGGCGTTGGCGTTGCATGCCCTCGCTGTGCGCTAGGTAGGACGCAGGAATTTCACACTGTGCACTTGTAGTTCCATTTTTAACTATCCCATGTCTTTTTTTTTTTTTTTTTTTTTTTTTAATTTATTTATTACAATATATCATTGGATGCTCCACTGCTTTAATATCGGCTGCAGTGCCATGACAAAGCTGGGCAAGTGCGGTGTGTGTGGGTTATTTTATTTATTTTTTTTATTTTTATAAGAAGTTTTAAAATTTGCAAACAATAAATGTTACAGCAACAACAATATTTGTTTTTTTTGCTTTTGTTTTTTTTTTGTTTTTTTTGCATTTTTTTTTAAATTTCATTTATTACAATATATATTATTGGATGCTCCACTGCTTTAATATTGGCTGCAGCTCCATGGCAAAGCTGGGCAATCGTGGTGTGTTTGGGTTTTTTTTTTTTTTTTTTTTTAATAAAGCATTTTAAAATTTGCAAACAATAACTGTTACAGCAACAACAGTATTTGTTTTTTTGTTTTAATTTTTATTACAGTATATATTATTGGATGCTCCACTGCTTTAACGTCGGATGCATGGCCATGACAAAGCTGGGCAATTTTAGGTGTGTGTGGGTTTTCTTTTTTTTTTTTTTTTTTTACTTTTTTTTTTCTAAAGCATTATAAAATTTGCAAACAATAACGGTTACAGCAACAACAGTATTTGTTTTTTTTTTCTTTGCATTTTTTTTTCTTGCATTTTTTAATTTTTTTATGATATTGTGCGTGGACACACCCCTTGCAGCACAATGTCGCTCTACTTTGCAGATGTTCGTCTATCTCTCTGATACAGCAGTCCACGCTGCGCCCTCCCTGGCTGTATCAATCCCGGCTTTTGTCTCTCTCCCAGCCCCAAAACGCTCGGTCCTACAGAGCCTCTCCGCCACATCTGTTGGTAGTTTACTCTCCAAAACCATTTCACATTTTTTTTTTTTTTTCCTTTTTTGTTCCTGCTTCCCTCCCCCTTCTGGAATACACAAGGGGGCCGACAGTGTCTCTTGTCCCTGGCTTTGGCAATGCTCCTCTCCCCACTCTCCTCTCTCTCTCTCTTTCTTTGTGTTACACAACAGCCAAAGCATTTAATTCTAGGTTTTATATCCCGCTATCAAAGCATCAGATTTGTTCTGAGCACACCAATAATATCCTTTTGTCTTGTAGTCAGCCCTGAGCGAGCGCATCCATCACCCTCTGTGAGAACACAAGCTTGGATTAGGTTGTAATGGAAGATATACTCTAATACCTTTTTTTTTCTTTTCTTATTAAATGTAAACCTTTTCTATTTATATCTCTTTTATATAGTGCCGATTGTTTTATTTTGTAGCAGGGTCATGCTGACATTTCTTTGTGTGCAGTTAGATGTCTCCATGAACTGGGTTTATTGTTTGATGTTTTTTTTGTAGTTGGAAGATCAAATTGGATCATGGATTTAAGTATAATGTATGCCTTAGGAGCCCAGACTGTGTCCCCATCAGATTATCTACAGAGGATATAAAAAGTCTACACACCCCTGTTAAAATGTCAGGTTTCTGTGATGTAAAAAATGAGACAAAGATAAATCATTTCAACCTTTTTAATGTGACCTATAAACTGTACAACTCAGTGGAACAACAAACTGAAATCTTTTAGGTGGAGGGAAGTAAAAATAAAAAGCTAAAATAATATGGTTGCATAAGTGTACACACCCTTAAACTAATACTTTTGTTGAAGCCCCTTTTGATGTGATTCCAGCACTCAGTCTTTGTGGGTATGAGTCTATCAGCATGGCACATCATGACTTGGCAATATTTGCCTGCTCTTCCTTGCAAAAACACTCCAAATCTGTCAGATTGTGAGGGAATCTCCTGTGCACAGCCCTCTTCAGATCACCCCACAGATATTCCATCAGATTCAGGTCTGGGCTCTGGCTGGGCCATTCCAAAACCTTCATCTTCTTCTCTTGAAGCCATTCCTTTGTTGATTTGGATGTATGCTTTGGGTGGTTGTCATGCTGAAAGATGAAGTTCCTCTTCATGTTCAGCTTTCTAGCAGAAGCCTGAAGGTTTTGTGCCAATATTGACTGGTATTTGGAACTGTTCATAATTCCCTCTACCTTGACTAAGGCCCCAGTTCCAGCTGAAGAAAAACCGCCTCAAAGCATGATGCTGCCACCACCATGCTTCACGGTGGGTATGGTGTTCTTTTGGTGATGTGCAGTGTTTTTGCGCCAAACATATCTTTTTGGATTTATGGCCAAAAAGTTGAACCTTGGTTTTCTCAGACCAGAACACATTTTCCCACATGCTTCTGGGAGACTTCAGATGTGTTTTTGCAAAATTTAGCCGGTCTTGGATGTTTTTCTTCATATGAAAAAACCTCCGCCTTGCCACTCAACCCCATAGCCCAGAAATATGAGGAATACGGGAGATTGTTGTCACATATGTTGCCAGATATTCGTGCAGCTCCTTTCATGTTGCTGTAGGCCTCTTTGCAGCCTCCCAGACCAGTTTTCTTCTCGTCTTTTCATCAATTTTGGAGGGACGTCCAGTTCTTGGTAATGTCACCATATTTTCTCCACTTGATGATGACTGTCTTCACTGTGTTCCATGGTATATCTAATGCCTTGGAAATTCTTTTGTACCCTTCTCCTGACTGATACCTTTTAACAATGAGATCCATCTGATGCTTTGGAAGCTCTCTGCGGACTATATCTTTTGCTGTAGGATGCGACTAAGAAAATGTCAGGAAAGACCTACTAGAACAGCTGAACTTTATTTGGGATTAATCAGAGGCACTTTAAATGATGGCAGGTGTGTACTGACTCCTGTTGAACATGATTTTGAATGTGATTTAATTTTGAACACCGCTACATCCCCAGTTATAAGAGGGTGTGCACACTTATGCAACCACATTATTTTAGTTTTTTTTAATGTTTACTCCCCCCCCTAAAAGATTTCAGTTTGTTTTTCAATTGAGTTGTACAGTTTATAGGTCACATTAAAGGTGGAAAAAGTTCTGAAATGATTTATCTTTGTCATATTATTTTTTTTTTTTTTTTTTTTTTTTTTACATCACAGAAACCTGACATTTTAACAGGGGTGTGTAGACTTTTTATATCCACTGTATGTGTGTGTTTTATTAATGGACTACAGTTATATTCAGGCTTGTTAAATACAAGCCCGAAGGCTCACAGATGCCAGCTTCCAGTAGGCACAGCGGTAGAAGATGCAGGGTCGTATTCTATAAAGTGTCCTTAAGCCAGCTATACACGGGTCAAATTTCTAAAAGAATTTTCTTTCGAAAATCTTTTCTAAGAAATTTTGTTTGAATTTCGCACCATTAGTGGGCCACAGCAACGGCCATTGGGCTTGTTGGAAATTTTTTGGAAAACAAATTTCTAACCAATGATGAGAGAAATGTAATAAAAAAAGAAATGCGCTGTGACCTGGAAAGAAAAGAAAATTGGCCACGAAAATTCTGTTCTGTAGCAACATGTGAAATTGAAGGCTTGGTTTGGTAAAATTTAGAAATCGATGATGGCACCATGGGATTACAAAACGCACGGAATTTCTGATTTTCTAAAGAAAATTCTTCCAGAATTCGACCCATGTATGACCTGCATTATTGTGTAATGCAGGTTCTTAGCAGTAACCCATTGCAGCTAGCCAGAATTCATCTTGTACTGGACGATCTTCAGCCAAGTGATCTTTGGGTTTCTTATTGAGTCCATTTGGCCGTTATGGTAACTGTACTTGCTCTTAGGGCTTAACAACGTAAGCCCTGCACCCTATGATTACGTGCATAGCACGAAACGCGTCGGGGGCTACATCAACTGGACGTCTAGCCACCTCTGGTGGCCATCCTGAGTACTATATGGTCAGTGTTCTTTAGTACATTTTTACTGCTGTATTGCACCTATTTTTATGGAATAAAGTTCCCTACAGTGTCACACTATGTGGTTTCCCTTATTGGCCTCTCTTCACGAAGGCCATTCACAGAGTCTGCTTTAAAGGTGACCTTAGATGGTGACACGCTTCAAGGACTGCTGAACACCCCATGCAGATGTGACCAGAAGGTGTATAGGATCCTGACCTGACCTGGGGAGCAGTTGACCCGATTAATACCTGATGAGACAGGCTATATCTCAAATGCATATTTTTACGCACTTCTGGTGAGTGCGCAATTTACTTATTTCAGGATTTATCATCTGCCACCTTGGATCAGTTTTCCACGCATGCGTATTGGGATTATACAGGATCCTCATGTGGGCAATTATACTTGGGACATTTACAAGTTCACCGTATGGTGGCATCTCATTTCCTCACTATAACTATATGTATTTTATGATATTAAGTTTTATGTTGCATATTCAGTTTTAGCGCTGCACCTTTCTATTGTTATACTCTTTGGAAGGTTTGTTTGGTTGCTGTTTCGGTGCTACAGCGGCTGTTTTTCTTCCATGATAGCGCTCGCTTAATCATCCTTTATCATGCTCTTAGGGCTTGTTCATATTGGCAGCTAGACTGCTGCCTCCCTGAAAAGCAATCTGGTGGATTGAGCCAGGTGAATGAGCTCTTACCACTTTACTCATTGCACTTGAGTAAGGCTAAAGTGAAACTAAAGGCAAGAAATTAAAAATGGTGGGCAGGCAGAAGAGACATGCAATAAAATACTTGCCTACCTGTTCACAGAATGTAGACGCTCAGGTGTCAAACTGGCGGCCCTCCAGCTGTTGCCAAACTACAAGTCCCATGAGGCATTGCAAGATTGACAGCTACAAGCATGACTCCCAAAGGAAGAGGCATGATGGGACTTGTAGTTTGGCAATGGCTGGAGGGCCACCAGTTTGACACCCTGATGTAGACTACACACTGAGCTGCACGTGCACAGCTCCATTTACATTCCGGCACAGTGCCTGTGTAGTGGGGGGGGGGGGACTGCATTTATGTGGGAGTAACGATATCCCACGCTGGCCAAACAAGATGGCTGAAGATTGGCACCTGGAAGAAGTCGGCGATGACAAGGTACCTCATGGACGTTGGACTGTTGGAACAGTGGTAAGTACCTATGCCTCTTAGTTTTGCTTTAAGGGCTTGTTCACGCTACATCAGTTGAGCTGCATTTTACCTGCACTGATTAAGGCAGTGTCAAGGCCAGGACACATGGAAACAATAGTTTTCTATGTGCCCTCTTCACGCCATAATACGTTGCTGAGGTGGGGTGCGGTGAGTTGTGTAATGCGCAAGCCGCTGCTTCTCACCACCTGTTACTACACGCCATTTCATCATAGTAGAGCTACACAATCCACCGCCTCAGTTCATCCCTGTTAACCTGTTTGGCATCTCCGCAACTGGAAATGAGGGAGGAGCTTAAAGGGTTAGTTCACTTTTACCAAAAGCTGTGTATGCAGATAAACTGCGTATGTAGATAAATACAAACTGTGCTGCTTTGAACAAAGTTGAATAATGTTCTTGCTATAGGTGTAGGCCATTTTCGCACCTCATGAAGCCTGACTGGAAAACTCCCAGGAAGTTGCTAAGTGAGGCCTGGTCATTACTGCTCACCTCCACCATCACAGGAGTGAGCTCTCAAATGCTGAGCTCAGAGCTACTGCATCAGGGGGGAGAGCGTGCACCTGAGGAGGTGTGAGTCAGAGAAAGAGCTCACTCCTGTGATGGCGGAGGTGGAGCAGTAGGCACTAGGCCTCTCTTAGCAACGTCCTTAGCAATGTCCTAGGGGTCTTCCAGTCAGGATTCATGAGGTACTTAAATGGCCTATAGCAAGGGCATGATTCAATTTTGGTCAAAGCTGCACAGTTTTTTCATCTACAGTTACTCCTTATCTGCATAGGCAGCCTTTTGGTACCAGTGAACAACTATGCCCTTAAGGCCTCTGCTTTTCAGACATGAAGAAAACTGAAAATGTTAATTTACAACATTTCTATAAAGTTAAAAAAAAAAAAAGTAAACCTTGCCTTGTGCTGTAACTATGCAAAGCCACACCCCCCTCTACATGACGGACACCAACGAGCGGGCGGCTGTGAGGAAGCTTTATGAGCTGTTGCCCTTAGCAACTAGTAAGAAAATACTCAGGCTGGGCAGTGTGTAGTAACCCACGCCAACCGGGCTTCATTTTACTGGAGCTAGGAGATGCTAGACGCACGGGTGTCAAACTGGCGGCCCTTCAGCTGTTGCCAAACTACAAGTCCCATGAGGCTTTGCAAGATTGACAGTTACTAGCATGACTCCCAAAGGCAGAGGCATGATGGGACTTGTAGTTTCGCAACAGCTGGAGGGCCACCAGTTTGACACCCCTGTGCAGCTGGAGGGACATGTTGTCACAGATAACTGCATATTGCTGTTTGCTTAATTTTTTTTTATCTCGGCAGAGACAGGATGGAATCTGATTGGCCAACACCAATGGGAGGAAACCTAATTATTATTATTATACAGGATTTATATAGTGCCAACAGTTTGCTCAGCACTTTACATTATAAAGGGAGACAATACAGCACCGATGTGAATGTACAATTATATAAAATACAATATATAAAATAAAAAAAAATACAGCAACAATACAGTTCAATACAAGTGGGATAGGAGGGCCCTGATCCTTGGAGCTTACAATCTAGGATTGATCTGTTATAGCGCACTAGCTGTAGCATTTGCTATTTTACCGGGTGACCAGGATCATTATGCTGGAATTCTTGGAGATTAGGTTTACTTTTTTTTTTTTTTTTTCTTTATTTGTTTGGGTGTGTTGTGATTTCCCATCATCCACCCGTCCATGCACTGTTTTTTTTGCCTTTCTTTAGTGTCCGGCTGTGAGGTGGAAGGCCATTGGTCCTGCTTAGCATAGACGCTGCCTGTCGGTCATGTGACGGCCTTTTTCTGCTGGAAGGAGGATTGAAATCTCCCCTTTTAGCAGGAATGCTTGTCCAATGGATCCTCTGGCTTTGTCTGTGACAGAGCAGGAATGGTGTCACTGGGTGCTTCACTAGATATTTGTAGTTCAAAATATGTGACTGGCGTATTGTTTGCAGTGCTGTTGTCTATAGAATGTGGAACCACGGGTAGCGGGATTTGTTAGGACAAGGCTTCATCTCCATGGAAACGAAGTGCTAGGCCTGAACGTTGCTAAAGTAACACTAGATATTGACTGTGCAGCGGGGGTCCACAAGCGGGCACACAATGAGGGGGATTTATCGCAGCAGCTGTGCACGGCCACCAAGCGGCTTCTAGCTTTCATTTTCCAAGCTTAACTGAGCAATCTAAAGAGAGAATTGGTTGGTGGCCATGTACAGGTGCTCCAGGTTATGTCTGCTCCAGTTTTGAGAAATTCCCTTCACTACGGTCTTTTCCACAAGTGTTGCTACTATAGGCTGTAATTGATAGTTCTCTAGGCTGCCATTTACAAAGCCTAGCCAGGCACTCTGCAGCTGCCGCCCATCCACCTCCCTGATGTCACTGATGGTGAGGTGCCGGTCCCTCTCCTCGTACTAGCTTATAGGCCCGGATTGGTGTATGATGTGCACATGCTCACACCACCAAACCTTTATCCCCACTAAGTGGAACTGCTAGATGCAGCAGGTATGTATGTAAAGAATTGGGGCTGATCTGAGGTGTGAAGGTGCAGGAATTGGGGTAGATCTCAGTGTGTGGGAATTGGGGCAGATCTGAGGTCTGAGGGTGCAAGAATTGGAGATGATCAGAGGTGTGAAGGTGCGGGAATTGGGGCTGATCTGAGGTCTGACAGTGCTGGAATTGGGGCTGATCTAGGGTGTGAAGGTGCAGGAATTGGGGCTGATCTGAGGTGTGAAGGTGCAGGAATTGGGGTAGATCTCAGTGTGTGGGAATTGGGGCAGAACTGAGGTGTGAAGGTGCGGGAATTAGGGATGATCTGAGGTCTGACAGTGCAGAAATTGGGGCTGATTTAGGGTGTGAAGGTGCAGGAATTGGGGATGATCTGAGGTCTAACAGTGCAGGAATTGGGGCTGATCTGAGGTCTGACAGTGCAGGAATTGGGGCTAATCTAGGGTGTGAAGGTGCAGGAATTGGGGCTGATCTGTGGTGTGACGGTGCAGGAATTGGGGCTGATTTGAGGTAGGAAGGTGCAGGAATTGGGGTTGATTTGAGGTCTGACGGTGCTGGAATTGAGGCTGATCTGAGGTCTGACGGTGCAGGAATTAGGGCTGATCTGAGGTCTGACGGTGCAGGAATTAGGGCTGATCTGAGGTCTGACGGTGAAGGAATTAGGGCTGATCTGAGGTGTGAAGGTGCAGGAATTGGGGCTGATCTGAGGTCTGACAGTGCAGGAATTGGGGCTGATCTGAGGTCTGACAGTGCAGGAATTGGGGCTGATCTAGGGTGTGAAGGTGCAGGAATTGGGGCTGATCTGAGGTCTGAAAGTGCAGGAATCGGGGCTGATCTGAGGTGTGAAGGTGTGGGAATTAGGGATGATCTGAGGTCTGACAGTGCAGAAACTGTGGCTGATCTAGGGTGTGAAGGTGCAGGAATTGGGGCTGATCTGAGGTGTGAAGGTGCAGGAATTGGGGCTGATCTGAGGTCTGACAGTGCAGGAATTGGGGCTGATCTAAGGTGTGAAGGTGCAGGAATTGGAGCTGATCTGAGGTCTGACAGCTCGGGAATTGGGGCTGATCTGAGGTCTGACAGTGCGGGAATTTTGGCTGATCTGAATGAGGTAAACTTGCCATCAACAGTACAGCTGTAATTTAAAAAATAAAGCATCTTCGGCGGACCATGCTCACTGGGACGCAGGTTGTCTAATGCTTGTAAATTGACAGTTGATGAGTTACACAGCTCTGCCACACAGCACAGATTTGTCTGGCAGGGCAGAAGACCTGTTTTCCGTTCTGCTGCAGGTAACACTTACCAGTCTTGTCCCTCCCCCGGCCTGTCATTGGACGGTGAAAAGAGAATCAGCAGATTGATGAGCTCATCTTTGGCTCCATGTAATGCATTTAATGATGAAAACAAAAGGTGTTTACAGTCTTACAGCTAATTTCCTTTTAAAATGCAGCCACAGCCTCAGCCAAAAAAGCCATCTCCTGCCAGCATGCTGCAAGCGTGGAAGCAGTGGTCTTCCTGAAGAGGTCTGGTGCATCCATTGCTGATTCGGATCTAGAGTTTTGCAATCAGCAGAGCTTGTGTTTCTGGATTATTGGAGAGCCCTAGTACAGCAGGGGTGTATCTGACCTCTGCAGAGAGACTTCTTTCATGGAGTTCATTTCTGCAGCGTGCTGGCAGGGGACGGACTTTTCTACTCAGGCTGTGGTTGCTTTCTAGGCAAAGCAAACTGTAAGCCTGAGAAACCCTTTTTTTTTTGTTTTGATGCACCTGGAATGGAATTAAAGCTGAACACAACTTAAACCCATTGATTTGGTGTTAAATATTTACATTCAAGGCGTGCCATGAATTTTAACTGTCAGTTTGTGCTCTTAATCAAACTGTCCAGCTATTCCAGTATTGAGAGATTTAGATTATAATGGGGGGGGGGGGGGGTTAGAACCCAGATGAGGAGGTCCTTATTGCTGAAAGATAACATAACCTGGACATGAAGATACAGACACTTCTTAGAGTGGGGAAAGCTAGGACTTTCATTCAAGTGATTGTAAACCTCCAGCATGGAATATGAACAAAGCAGATCATTGTATAGTGCGTACTTGTCTCAATTAAGAGCACCAAGTGTCATTTCTGTCTGCTGTCTTGCTCCTCTGCTATCAGCAGGAGTCACTTCTGATAGGTTTTCCTGACACCAAGAAAAAAATGGTGACAGGGGAGGGACCTCCACCAGATTGACAGCCTCTGCTCTGCTCCTGTGAGCTCTTTGGAGTGGGTGTGTGTCTCTTCCCTCCAATCAACTCTCAGAGATCTCCTTACTGAGCTCTGCAGTATGTAATTTCAGCCCTCCACCCCCTTTTCTCTGAACTCTCAGACAAGCTTTATAAATTCAGCACTTTGAATGTAGAGAAGAGAATACTGCAGATAAACAGATACAACTATGTAGGAGGATTTTTTTTTTATCTCTGTGTATCACCTGAGTGCAGTCACTTTAAAGTGGTTGTAAACACTTACTATACACAGTGAAGTATACACCCTTATCATTGTCTTCTCATATTTGTCTCCTATTGGTCTGTTAATATACATTATGTGGGATCAATTTAATTGATTGTAGTCTTAGGGTGACAATGCTGCTCCTCCAATATGGTGGGTGTGCCTGTCACTGTAGTACAGGAAGTGTGTCACTGGCAGGATCAACAGATACTACTGGGGACAGTGTTGCAAATCTCTCCTTCCATGACACTCTGCACTCAGTCCTTCCTCTATCTTCTGGGTTGAGTGATGGTTGATGTAATTTAGCCCAGTAGACTGAGGACATCCTGTGTCAAAAAATAAGTACTGCAGGGGGCAGCTCTGGATTAAAGACCGGTATTGCCCCAGAGCTAGGCGTTTCTTTAGCTGCCCATCAAGTAGATTGGACGCAGTGTTGCGGTAGACCGATGTCTATAGTGAAAAGTATACCTTATGGCACTGCTCCTGGTTACGGATGGAAAGAAATGGATCACCCTACCGGGAAGTGAGAACAGGGGAGCACTAGTCTGAGCGATTCCAGTGTCAGCCAATACATGTGAAGGGATGGACGCTGCTCAACCAACTCCAACTTTTTCTGATGTCTTCTGGCTGGTTGTGTGATGCACTCTTCCTCTTTGGCTTTCTCCTGGCTGATGCAGAGAATGGTGTTGAGGTGATGACATCAGCACCGCACTCTGCATCATTTCAGTGTGAGCAGGGGGTGCCGTACTCGGTGGGCGGGACCATGACACCCTGCACTCAGTCCTTCCTCTATCTTCTGGGTTGAGTGATGTAATTTAGCCCAGTAGGCTGAGGGACATCATGTGGCAAAAAATAGGTACTGCAGGGGGGCAGCTCTGGATTAAAGACTGGTATTGCCCCAGAGCTAGGCATTTCTTTAGCTGCCCATCAAGTAGATTGGCAAAGTCTTGGACGCAGTGTAGCGGTAGACCGATGTCTATAGTGAAAAGTATACCTTATGGCACTGCTCCTGGCTACGGATGGAAAGAAAAGGATCACCCGACCGGGAAGTAAGAAGGGGGGGGGGGGGGGGCACAAGTCCAAGCGATTCCAGTGTCAGCCAATACATGTGAAGGGATGGACGCTGCTCAACCAACTCCAGGAGTCCAATGTTGAGGAATGG